GTGGGCAAGACGGCACATCTGCCCCCCATAGCAAGCAGCTTGATATGGGGGCACAAAAGAAAACAAGAAAAGGGTGCATTATCACAAAAAGTATTTAAAAAGGTTAAAAAGTAGGTATCATAGTAACAATGGACATATAAAACAAAGGCACATCACAATAAACAGTGGTGTCCAATCCATACAGCGTCTAAGTCCAAAACTATGGAACCCTGGACTTCCAACTGGCTAACACGTTTCGAGGGCTCAGCCTCTTTCTCAGAGCCACTGAGGGCCCTGTGAAAGCTGGAAATGACTGTAGTCAACACTGCTATTCCAGTGAGGTTCTCTAGCTTCTGGGTCCTCTGTCAAGCAGCTTCCTTGCTACAATGTCAACACAGGAGGTCACCCACTCAACACAACACAGGTGCCCCTCAGAGAACACTGCATTTTCTTTATGAACACAAACTGTTCTTTGATTGGACGATCTGGGAATTGTGACATCACCACTCCGTCACTCCACCTTGTCCAATCAGAAAATGCTTTGCATTAATTGAGGAAATGTAAAGTGTTCCCTGAATGCTGCCAGAACAGCCAACCTCTTGTGTTCACAATACTGCAGGACAGCTCCTCAGCACAGGACCTGGATGCAAGCGAAGATCACTGGAGTAGTGGTGTGTACTTCAATGATTTCCAGCTTCCACAGGAATCCCACAGGTATGGAACATACATACATGGAGTTAAGCTGGACCAAAGTAACTATGTGTAGCTCTTCCCCGATAGGGGGCGTTTGATAAAGCCTGTCCCAAATTGTTACCCTTACCTTGCAAGCCTCCCAATACCCCTGACAGTTTGGGTTCAAACATAAGTCAATAGTAGAGAGTATAAATGCAAGCGACACAATTCTTTAGTAACATTTCTATATTATACTTGTTCAAGAGTAGACCAATGGGATAGTGCGTTTAGGATGTACACCCTCAGGTAACGCATAAAAGCAGAACACTGGTACAACATAAACAATCAATTAGCAAGGTTTAACAGATTATACAGTCATGAGAGGTCAGCTTCAACTATTTAAATGCAACATTGGCAGTAAGAGGGGTGAGAGAAGATTTGTTAACTTACCAACTCCCTCTGGGCCACTGACGCTACAAGGGGTGTGCAGAGAATTATGTAAATGTATACTCCAGCACAGGGCTCTTTTTCCTCAGAGACTAGGTGCTGGAACTCCTCCCTTCTGAGTCACTCTTTGGCACCGCCCCCTACTCACTCACCTCTGAGCACTGTCCCTTGGTTTCACCCCCTACCCACCTCTGAGCACCGTCCCTTGGTTTCACCCCCTACCCACCTCTGAGCACCGTCCCTTGGTTTCACCCCCTACCCACCTCTGAGCACCGTCCCTTGGTTTCACCCCCTACCCACCTCTGAGCACCGTCCCTTGGTTTCACCCCCTTACCCACCTCTGAGCACCGTCCCTTGGTTTCACCCCTTTACCCACCTCTGAGCACCGTCCCTTGGTTTCACCCTTACCCACCTCTGAGCACCGTCCCTTGGTTTCACCCCTTACCCACCTCTGAGCACCGTCCCTTGGTTTCACCCTTTACCCACCTCTGAGCACCGTCCCTTGTTTTCACCCATTTACCACACTCTGAGCACCGTCCCTTGGTTTCAACCCTTACCCACCTCTGAGCACCGTCCCTTGGTTTCACCCTTTACCCACCTCTGAGCACCATCCCTTGGTTTCACCCCCTACCTACCTCTGAGCACCATCCCTTGGTGCCACCCCCTACCCACCTCTGAGCATCATCCATCGGTTTCACTCCGTACCCCCCTCTGAGCACTGTCCCTTGATTCCACCCCCTACCCACCTCTGAGCACTGTCCCTTGGTTCCACCCAAACCCACCTCCCAGTACTGCCCCTTTTAGGGAATACAGAAGCAAGTATCATTTTATGCTACTAAATAATTTGTATGGAATTTTTTAAGAATAACTAGTAAGACAGTAAAATAGATCACCTGCAGTGAGCAACAATAGACCCCACTCTAGTAACAGTAGACCCCCCAGCAACAATAAACCCCACCCCAGCAACAATAGACCACATACACACACAACAATAGACCCCCCCAGCAATAATGGATGCCCCACAACAAAATACCACCCCAGAAACAATAGACACCCAACAGATCTCCCAGCAGCCAGCAACAATAGACCTCTACCTCAACAGTAGATCCCACTCAGCAACAAATGACCCCCCAGAAACAATAGACCGACCCAGCAAAAATAGAAACCCATGCAAAATTAGATCCCCACCAGTGAAAATAGATCCCCCAGCAGCCAGCCTCAATAGACCCTCCAGTACACCCTAGCATCCCTTGCCATTACATACATTCAATGCTGGAGGTGCTGGAACTCCATTCCCTTACGTTCCCGCTGAATAAAGCCCTCCTCCAGCATAAATATACTGTATGTAGGTACCTTAGTTTGAGTAACAATGGCCTTTGAAAGAAAAAGGTCCCTTTACCTAGAGATTGTAGCTTGAGTCCTGTGATGTTAAGAGTTCTTTATATGGTAGTCTCCGCTGTTCTCTACCAGCGATGGTGGGGCCCATAAACATTAGTGAATACTGGTAATTCAATGAAGTTAAACAGATAAGCTGTGGTACTTCTCAAAGCAAAGGTATCTTGGTAACTGAGGTGTAAAGGTGTCTGCATGCAGAGTGCAGATGACAAAGAGGTTGGGGATCCACCTGCTCACCAATCCTATGGATAGCACGCCCTTCTAGAAATAGGAGTTTTTGCACAGGCTCTTGGCTGTTTGCAGAGAAATGCAGAGTTACCACCTGACAGTCTGCCAGGGCAGTGAGCAGAGATGTCTGTGTAAAGATTGGACAGTGATAGTCCCAGTGCAGAGAAGAGTGATGCAAACTCGGTGTGGCAATCAGTGTCATCGATGTGCTGAACTGCTGTGCAGAGTCTCGCAGCCGTAGGCCTGCAATCTTTCTCTGTAGGATAACGGCAGTACCCCTGTGTCCAGCTCTGGATCACACGCCAAGAGAGTGAGCCTGTCTCTTGCTGTAGAATATATCTGCTTTCCCAACACCCCTCTCATTCGCCAGGTCTCTGGTAGTTGTAGTTCAATCAGCCCTCAAGAATACAGTACGTATTGGCAATAGGACTACAGGTCCCAAGATCCCCTGCTGTCAGAAGAATGGGATCCACTCTGCTAACAAGAAATGTAGATGTCTGCGTACCAAGCACTAGGAACAAAAGGCTTAATCATAGTCTCATCTGTAAGTGTCCCCGAATTGCATTATGACATATCCGGCACTTGGCTACATATGTAAAAATTGCAAAGAAAAAGTTTACTGCATTCACTAACCTTTGGTATGTCCACTGGACCAAGTGAAATTCCCCATACCTCTGGGTATGGGATGGATGTGGCTGGCTTCACTTTTTCCCGTGGTACTGCACTGGGTGCCAATCACCAGACATAAGCCCTATTACATGGAAGTTTTTCCATTGTAAGGTTTACCTTTGCCTCCATATCTTGGATTTCCCATTACTTTATTGGAGACAATGGTGAATAGGACAAAGAGGGGGTGAGCTTCCCCAGTGGGGAAACCGATAGCAGTGGACACCTGACTGATTCTAACCTTTCACATTCTATCCAAAGCAAAAGTAATCAGTTTTTGGATTTACATACACGTTAAAATAACTTGTTAGTGACTTTACACCACATGCCTTGCATTTTAGTAAAATATGTGGTTTTGCAGAATTCACAGGGATCAGATTACTCTAACACAAAAAATCATGCAGGTTTTTTTTTTTCCATTTGCTATACAAATAACTATAAGGCCACTCCTGGTTGCTTTCTAAATATCTGTATTATACTATAAGGATGAATGTAATACGCACTGGAGTGACTGAGAGAGCAGCTGAGCTTCCTTCCGCCGTAAGTATTTATCATGTGTTCAGTCTCTACATCCTATAGGTTATTCTATAAATCAGATTTATAAATAAAATGCATTTAATTAGTCAAGCAGCAATGTGTCATGGGCAGCAGGGGCGGACTGACCATTTAGAAACTCGGGCACTGCCCGAGGGCTCAGGGTCAGTAGGGGGCCCCATGAGATGCCCCTGGTACCTTTTTCATAGGCTTTTTTGAGTTTGGGCAAGGACACAGGGGCCCCATGATCCCCTATTGCCCAGGGGCCCCATGAGTTGTCAGTCCGCCCCTGATGGGCAGTTACAGCAACCAGAATCCATTTCTGTCCTCTGAAAAATTAATCCTGATTGGGTGGTAACAGTGATTGCACCTTTCACATAGTGAGCAAAATTCTTGGGTAAAAATTAGGAGGATATGTTACGGTTGTAGAAAAACGTCTGCCATGGCAATTTGTGTGCTGCCCCATGGAAATTCATTTTGAGGGACATGTCAGAAGAAGGCAGTGTGGTGGGAAATCTTCCCATGGGGTGTTGTGCTGGAGAACACTTGTCAGCCATGCCTGCAGCGTTTAATAAATATATATGAAAGTTAAAGTCCACGGGAGACAATTCGTGTAGACTATGAAAAGAGAAAGCCCTCACCAAAACCAACCTCAAAGTTTTAACAAGATCATAAATGTATTAAACCTTAGGGGTTGCATTTGGCTTTGGAGTATTGGCTTTGTCTTTACTCAGTTATTTTATGGTATCACCATTATCCATGCACTCTAAACGTGGGGCATTAAGGGTCTGGTGCTGGAAAGATTTGTCTACAAGGTTCATTTGTGCAGACTGTGAAGCTCTACAAGAATCCTGTTGGGACCTTCTGTCGGTGTTGGGACTGCCTTTTGCTGTCAAGTAGATCTGGACAATGATTTCTTTTGGTTTGGATTTGGTGAATGACTAAACCTCTACGTGGTTATTATATGGCATCACCATATATTAGCCAGGTGCTCTAAGCCTGTGGCTTTATGGGTCTGCTGCTGGATTGATTTGTCTTGAATGTTTATTTATGCAGACCAGGGGCAGACTGACAACTCATGGGGTCCCCGGGCAATAGGGGATCATGGGGCCCCTGCGTCCTTGCCCACACTCAGAAAAGCCTATAAAAAAGGTACCAGGGGCATTTCATGGGGCCCCCTACTGACCCCGGGCCCTCGGGCAGTGCCCGAGTTTCCAAATGGTCAGTCCACCCCTGATGCAGACTGTGAAGTTCTAAAACAGGTCCTCAACCTTTTGAAGAGCAAGGGCCACTTAAGTGATTTGGTAACCGGTCATGGGTCAAAATAAAATGAAATGGTTCAGAAATTCTCATTTTTTATTTTGAATAGGATAAAGAACATTTTTACAGCTGCTGAATGCCAGTGGGAGGGAGAGGAAAAGAAGCCTACTTTCAACGTTTGCAGGGAAAAATGGAGAGGATCGGTTGCTGTATACAGAGCTGGTGCTAGACTATTTTGCGCCCTAGGCAAGACCAGCTACTTGCGCTCCCCAACTAAATAAATAAATACAAATTTTAAAAAACAGTAGAAAATATTAAATCAACAAAACATGAAACTGCTAAATGTCTTTTCATTTGCAAAAATAAGAGCCATAAGATGCCACCAGTACCAACATTAACCGCCTCCCACCCGCCATATAAGGATATCACGGGCGCAAGGTGGTTCTCTCGTTCTGGGAGGATGTCATATGACGTCCTCCCACTCTAACCACGAGTGTGCGCCCCCTGGGCGCCGATCACTGATCAGCGGAAAGACCCGGAGACTTCGGCTCGGTCATGTGATCAGCTATGTGCAATCACAGCTGATCGCATGTAAATAAGGAAATGGCGGTTATCGGCATTTCTCTGCTCACGAGCTGTTACGCTGACAGCTCGTGAGGAGAGGAGAGTCGGTAATTGGCATTCCTCAGAAGGGACATCTACACCAAGGGTTAAAATTTCGGGTCCAGACCTACTAGCCGGTCACAAAACTTACTGTCCAACAGTTACCCCACCCAACCTTGCCCAGGTCCACCCCCAACCCCACCCCCTGGCCCGCTGCAAACCTCACCCCCACCCCGCCCCCAACCTCGCCCCCTTAAAGCTTATGAAATTACATTTTTTTAGAAGAGTCCAAAATATAAAACTGTATACAGGAATGTATATCCCCCCTCCCCTGTACTCCATTATAGTGATATGACATGTATACAGTAATATATATCCCCCCTCCCCTGTACTCCATTATAGTGATATGACGTATGTATACAGTAATGTATATCCCCCTCCCCTGTACTCCATTATAGTGATATGACGTGTATACAGTAATGTATATCCCCCCTCCCCTGTACTCTATTATAGTGATATGATGTGTATACAGTAATGTATATCCCCCTCCCCTGTACTCCATTATAGTGATATGACATGTATACAGTAATATATATCCCCCTCCCCTGTACTCCATTATAGTGATATGACGTGTATACAGTAATATATATCCCCCTCCCCTGTACTCCATTATAGTGATATGACGTGTATACAGTAATGTATATCCCAGCTCCCCCATACTCCATTATAGTGATATGACATGTATACAGTAATGTATATCCCAGCTCCCCCGTACTCCATTATAGTGATATGACATGTATACAGTAATGTATATCCCCCTCCCCCCTGTACTCCATTATAGTAATATGACATGTATACAGTAATGTATATCCCCCTCCCCTGTACTCCATTATTGTGATATGACATGTATACAGTAATGTATATCCCCCTCCCCTGTACTCCATTATAGTGATATGACATGTATACAGTAATGTATATCCCCCCTCCCCTGTACTCCATTATAGTGATATGACATGTATACAGTAATGTATATCCCCCCTCCCCTGTACTCCATTATAGTGATATGACATGTATACAGTAATGTATATCCCCCTCCCTTGTACTCCATTATAGTGATATGACATGTATACAGTAATGTATATCCCCCCTCCCCTGTACTCCATTATAGTGATATGACGTGTATACAGTAATGTATATCCCCCTCCCCTGTACTCCATTATAGTGATATGACGTGTATACAGTAATGTATATCCCCCCTCCCCTGTACTCCATTATAGTGATATGACGTGTATACAGTAATGTATATCCCAGCCCCCCTGTACTCCATTATAGTGATATGACGTGTATACAGTAATGTATATCCCCCTCCCCTGTACTCCATTATAGTGATATGACGTGTATACAGTAATGTATATCCCCCCCCCCCTCTACTCCATTATAGTGATATGACGTGTATACAGTAATGTATATCCCAGCTCCCCTGTACTCCATTATAGTGATATGACGTGTATACAGTAATGTATATCCCCCTCCCCTGTACTCCATTATAGTGATATGACATGTATACAGTAATGTATATCCCCCTCCCCTGTACTCCATTATAGTGATATGACGTGTATACAGTAATGTATATCCCCCCTCCCCTGTACTCCATTATAGTGATATGACGTGTATACAGTAATGTATATCCCCCTCCCCTGTACTCCATTATAGTGATATGACGTGTATACAGTAATGTATATCCCCCTCCCCTGTACTCCATTATAGTGATATGACGTGTACACAGTAATGTATATCCCCCCTCCCCTGTACTCCATTATAGTGATATGACGTGTATACAGTAATGTATATCCCCCTCCCCTGTACTCCATTATAGTGATATGACGTGTATACATTAATGTATATCCCCCCTCCCCTGTACTCCATTATAGTGATATGACGTGTATACAGTAATGTATATCCCCCCTCCCCTGTACTCCATTATAGTGATATGACCTGTATAAGGTAATGTATATCCCCCCTCCCCTGTACTCCATTATAGTGATATGACCTGTATAAGGTAATGTATATCCCCCCTCCCCTGTACTCCATTATAGTGATATGACATGTTGTATACAGTACCCGAGTCCCCCGCAGCGGTGAAGAGGGTGTCTCCTCTCAGCAGAGCCGAAGAAGCCGGAAACCGGAAGTTGTAAACCGGAACTCGGCTTCACAAAGAGGCTTGGAGCACAGGTGCAGTCGCTCCATGCTTCATCTGTGCTCGCTGCTCGCCACAGAGGAATTTCTCCTCGCATTTGGCGAGCAGGCGAGCGGCTTTTTCAAGCCCTGATCTACACTGATCGTCAGGGCACTGATGATCAGTGCCCTGATGATCAGTGTAGCCCCATCAGTGCCACCTGTCAGTGTCCATCAATGCCACCTGTCATTACACATTAATGCCACCTGTCAGTGCACATCAATGCCACATATCAGTGCCTACCAGTGTACATCAATGCCACATATCAGTGCCCATCTGAGATGCCTTTCATTGCCAGTCAGTGCCTCCTATGAGTGCTGCCAATCAGTGCCACCTATCAGTGCCACACAGTGCCACCTATCAGTGCCACTCAGTGCCGCCTATCAGTGCCTATCAGTTCCACCTATTAGTGCCCATCAGTGCTGCCTATCAGTGCCCATCACTGCAGCCTCATTAGAGCACATCAGTGAAGGAGAACAATTACTCACTTACAAAATTTTATAACTTTTTTTTTCAAACTTTTCAGTTGTTTTTGGTTTATCAAAAAATAAATAATCCAGTGGTGATTAAATACCACCAAAAGAAAGCTCTGTCTCAAAAACATGACAAAAACGTAATATGGGTACAGTGTTGCATGACCACGCAATTGCCATTTAAAGTGCGACAGCACTGAAAGCTGAAAATTGGCCTGGGCAGGAATGGGGTGAAAATGCCCAATAGGCAAGTGGTTAAAGACATAATCAGTTTCACAGACAGACTGTGTCTGTTAAACTGGCAGTGGCAGGTTGACAGTGGCAGTAAGTGGAGGATGATGGATCCACACTGACAGATCCTAGGCTGGCATTCCCCAGGCAATGAGGGGAGATAAAACACTGTGACAGTGGGCAGCCCAGCTTACACACACAAAGAGAACACCTAAACTGAGTGATCCCACACAGTGACAGATCCGACACAACACACTACCACCAACACTGACACAGATCAGCAGGCCCAGCAGGCACTAGAAGAGCAGGCAGTGGGATCGTGATGATGTCATCACTCACTGACACATTGCACATGTGATGACTAGGTCACACTCACACAAACATGAGACATGAGACATCAGAGTCAGACATTACCTTCCTCCACAGGCACAGCTCCACTGATGCATGGGAAGAGAAGGGCTGTAACTCCACAGTGATCAGCAACTGCCAGCTGGCATGCAGTAAGGGACTGAGTCTGAGAGGAACATTGGAAGGAGCAGCAGCTCAGCTGTTACATTGGCCCCAGACACCCCGCATCTTCTTCAGTCCTTTCTTCATCCCCCGCTGCTGCTCCTCAGCTGACGGATTATCCTTGATGTGATGGCATCCCACCAGAGAGAGTGATAGTCTGTGCTGCGCCTAGGTGCCCCTAGGTGGCAGTGCGCCCTAGGCTGCTGCCTAGTTTGCCTAGTGGAAGCACTAGCCCTGGCTGTATATGCCACCCCCACTGCCCCTCATGTCCAATTGTAAAACTGAATGTGACAGGGAGGCTGCATAGGAGCCCTGGAGCATGGGACGGGGTCACCATTGCAACCCCTGACACTACACCAGTTGGGGGGGGGGGATAAAAACATTTCTTAACTATGGGGTTCTACTGCCCCATAAATGTAAACAAACCCTTACTGTCCTGAGCCCCCTTTAAGACTGCTTTCACACTGATGCACTGCAGTTTACCCACGCCTCAAGTGCCATAGACTTCTATTATATCTTGTGGGTGTGGGTCACTTTCTTATACCACACCAAAACTCCTGAAGACCAGGATATATAGGAGACTTTGGATGGCTGCACTCCACACAAGTACAGTTTATTGAACAACCATATAAGAACACACATGTGTAGGCATATGGAGGCAACAAGGGTGATGGGGTGTATGGGAAAATCAATTTGCGTTAATTTAGAGCTTACTAAGCGCTGAATCAGCGCAAAATGCGTTGATTTTTCCATGCACCCCCTTACCCTTGTTGTCTCCAATTGCCTACACATGTGTGTTGTTATATGGTTCTTCAGTACACTGGACATGAGTGGAGTACAGCCATCTGAAGTCTCTTACATATCCTGGGGCAAGGCAGGTATTGGGACCTCCTCCTGGTGTTGAGTAGATCTATTTGGGCACTGCTTTCTTTTAGGGCAGGTGTAAGGT